AAACAAAACGGAACCAACGGATTTGCTGTAGAATCGCCTACTTATAATCAGTCAATTATAAAGGCAAGCAAGTCACGTGCTAATGTGCAATTTAAAGCAATATGATATGCCTGCAGACATCTGCAATCTTCTTTCTGCGGCAGCATAAACTGAGTGACCCTTACCGTGTGTTGCAGAAAACGCTACCAGAAACCGCATGCCCAATTTAAAAAGATGATAGCTTTGAGACCGCTGAACAGGAACGTTATTAATAAACAACAACTGACAGTCGCAAAAATGTCTACATTTTGCTATTATGCCGAAATCCTAAAACGCTCACTGGAGAATCCAACGCTATAACCATAAACAAGTTAATTGGACAACTAGTAAACCCTGTAGTTGCTTCCGCTGCCGTCACGCATTGATGACGTTTAAGCGGTGCGCTCGCTAATTGGTTGGTCTGTTTTGGCCGGTAGGGATGGGCGGTTCCACTCCTTTTCTTTTCGATCCGATACCAAGTTATATCAAGATTCTGTTCATCCATCCATATTCTATACAAGCTTGTCCTATTCAGAATCGCGGGGGTACACAGCTCATCTATGGGGCGCCACACCGGACAAAAGCCGAGCGAAAACCGCGAGAGGAAACGAATGCATGTACACGAGAGACGTTTAAGGTGTTTCCTACCCATCACGGAGGCTGCGGGCGAAAGGCAGGGAATAACACAGGATGGGGCGTAAACCCATCGCAGGGCACCCTCACACATGCACACCTGGTTTTGTCTTGGCCTTCAATATGTGCCGTCTTCCCTAGAAAAAGCATTAACAGCTTCAAACATCAAGCTAAGTTATAACAACGCCAAACTTTAATTTAAAGATAACTACAAATTATCAGCGTTTTAATAATTATCTAAGTAAGATTCTAAGAATTAAACCAGAAACCACGTTCCTGGCGTTGTCGTGGGTTCTGCATTTAAAAGGTCACTTGATAGTTACATAGGAATGAATGCATAATTCAAGGTTTTAATTTAATTTAGAAAAGCGTAACTCCTCCAGTAATATTATTAAACCAAAATTGAACGGGACAATTGACCCTACAGCGATATCTGCCAGCTGTGAGAAAATTCTGTAAAAAGCTCTATACTCGTACATCTAACTTAAGTTAACATTGCCAGCTCTAGTTAATTTTAACTGCATCAAAGAGCCTAAAACTGTAGAGCTTGAACACAAATCGTGAGACACCAATCTCAATATGTATCTCAATCTGTAATCTATAAATACTGAACGTATAAATTATAAGAGGTTTGTTTTTTTAAAACAGCCTGACGTTTATCTTTCTCATTTCCAGTTCTCGTTGTATTATTTTAATAAGACAATATCTTTACAATTATTGTAAGTATATGAGACACAATAAGTGTCACATTTGTAATGAACATAAACTTTCGACAGCGTTGTGTAGTCAGTCACTGGGTCACCTTTAGTATGCACCTATCTGCAGGGGCGCCGTAAGGGGGAGGAAAGCTAGGACGATTCCAAGGGTCCCTGAGTGACAGGGGCCCTAAAAAATTAGGAAAATAACTGAATTGGTTTGGACTGGGGGGCCTAATATGATATGCTTTCATGGGGCCCAAAATCTCTAGCAACGCCCCTGCCTATCTGTAAATGGTAAACCGCAAAATATGTATCTGTATGTCTCACTATCCCCCTTGAAACTCGACCAGTAACATGTGTTTGGGTATTAATTTCTTATGTATCGTATGTATGCATTTTTATGTATCATGTATGTACGCTCTGTGGACAAAAGAATTGGGACACGCCTCTCAATCATTGAATTCAGGTGCATAAAACCAAGCACCAGTCAGGTACACAAACACTTGTGAAAGCATGGGTTATTTTGAAGGGCTCAGTCTGCTTTGGGGTCCCTCTATTTTGGACGTTGTGAAAGCTTCCATTCTAACTGAGCGCTCTGGGTCCTCGTCATGATGACTGGTAATGCCGTTACTTCCCCGTCTCTAAGAGTGTGATGGTGCAGGGTGTTAACGGCTCGTCATCGCACCGCTTTCCGCCGTCAGCTGTGACCGCCATAGACGCCTATTTATCCTTCTGTCAGTACATGGATTTGCTAAATAATTGGAAAAACAAACTGAAAACTGTTAGATTATTCATAAATATCTACATCACTGCAAAGATGCAGAAGTGGCAAGTTCAGGTTCAGAAAGTACAAATCCAGACCAGGATTTAGTGTCAACCAACCAGTTGAGTATGAAGGTTGTGTCCGAAATTTGGGGGCTGCACCCTTCTAAGGCTGCATTCCAAGACCGAATTCGAAGACTCCTTCAAATGCGGTCTAGAAATGTCGCGAACGATCCAGTAGCAAATGATTCAACATACTCCAAGGTTCACTGCACAGAGGTAAAGTGTGCACGTCCCAGCTAGGCGATAGGAGCGGTGCTTTGTGACTCAGGGGTTAGGGCAGGAACAGCTGATGACAGCCAGACTGTCCCATTTGACGATGCTTTCCGTTCGACATGATTTCCGCTACACCTTCCTAGTCTGCCTCCTTCGAAAGATGAAGCCATTGAATTCAGACACAGCTAAAGAGTCATAGTCACAGAGTATTTAACAGGTTGGTTGAAACAAAATCTTTCTGGACCTGAACTTTCCAACTCTGCTAAGATGTACAAAACTATACAGCATACAGTGCTCACAGAAAGTCTTGGACACTTATTTAATTCATTTAAAATATTGGAAATGTATTGGTTTTATAACAAAATCATTATTCTTTTGTTTACAAAAAATATATATACCACATTATAAACAATAACTAGTTATAAGTAAGACATTCATTTCAAGTAGTAATAAACTGAACCCAAATTATAGCTCTAAAACAGCTGTTCTGTTCTGAGTTAAAAAGCTCACTGGCCAGCAGCTTCACTGGGTGCTTTTTAATTAGTAACACCTCTGCAATAACGTAAAACACCAAAATGACAAGAACAGAATTGAATGAGTCAGTCAAAATCATGACACTTAATAAAACAAAAATATCTGTGCAAAAGACATGTGCAGATATGATAAACATTGCTTGCCAAAGGACTTTTGTTATGAAATCAATAAATCTGCAACATTGTTGCAGAATTAAGCAAGTGTCCCAAGACTTTCTGTGAGCCTGTATATGGGTAGGGAGAGGAATCTGTAGGCTTGGTGTCAAGTCAGTTTATCCACAAGTCGATTAATTGAAATAGATTATATAGCATATGAGCATGCTGGGCTGGCCGTTCTCTGTCTGAAGCAGTGAACATCTGGTGTGTGTTGTTGTGTCTCTCATTAAACTATATATTATAAGATCAGAGTGTCTTGTAGTTTCCCAAGGAACTGGAATAATAAGGTGGAAGCAGTGGTTGTCATACTAGAGAACTGGGAAACAAGCAGATTTTTAGAAGTGGGACACGCTCCTGTCTATTCAGGAACACCTTCCTCTCCACAAGAGGGAGCTATGCATTAAAATAGAGTTAGACATCCAAAATAGTGTTTATGAAATAAAGATGGTTTTAAATGTATGCTAATGATTAAAAGGAAAATCTGATATTTTTTAAAAACGTATTCCTGTTGCTTAAAAATTTGGTTTGAACCATTGGTTTGAATCCCATCCACATAGGACATAGCGATTCTGTATTCCATGCTGCTATATAATGTTGTTTTACATGGCTTGTCAAGCAGCAGCTGCCCTTATTTCTCATGTGAATCACTCTGTGACTGTTTTATCCTTAGAATTTGCCAGAAACAACACGGGCATTTAAGAAGAAGCCAGGATGGCACCCTAACTTGGCCCCTTGTGTGAGCCGGGCAGCACAACTTGACTATAACTTGACTATAACTAGTTATAAGTAAGACATTCATTGTGCCCAGCCTCTCTCCTGGCATTATGCAGGGAGCCACCAGACAGGCGTTTAGTTATAGGCAAGTTAGGCGAGTTTGTGGTGAATAAAAGCACATGTAACGCTTTGGGATAAATGTTTTTTAGATAGGTGAAATATTTTAAAATGTCAAGGCATGTCAGACTACCCTGAAAGTGGCTGAGAGGCCTCAGGCCCCAGGGGATTAATGGTCAATGGCTCCAGACTTCCTCAGATATAGTTTTGGCTATGTCACATGACTTTAAGTGTACCTGAAGCCACAACTGTGTTTTATGTGGGTGTTTTGGCACAGCCCTGAAACAAAACACGATTATGCTAAGTTGTGTCTAAGGGCTTAGTCCTCGGATCACACCGCATGACTCTGCATTTCTAGTGTTTAAAACTCAGGCCCTGAGTCAGGCCCATGACAGTGTATGAAAACTTTTGACCCACTGAAAATCCGAAATAACGGAAATAAATCAGACTGTTCGATATCCTTTTGACACTACCTCTTAAGGAAATATAGTAGATGCCCCTCACACGGGAAATGTATGGTGTGGAGTTTGGGAACATTTAATCCACTTATATCACATTGTTCTTATCAGTAGGGTTTCCTATTCTTTACTGTACAGTTACATACCATGCATGCTTTAAACAAACATGTACAGTTAGATAATGGGGTATGATTAGCGCATAAATGGTGCGTTGGCTGTTACTGTCATTATCAGTCCGATTAAAAAAAAGCAGGCAGCCACCTACAGTCTGTCTGTCTGTTGTATGTCGTATTGTATTTCTATTATATTGTATTGTATTGTGTATTATACGGTTTCCTTTGTGCATATGTATATACTGCACTTATTTAATATACTGCACTTCTGATAGGAAACTACTTACCCAAGACTTTCCACTTGTTTCACTTGTTCTAGTGATGTGAAAATAAAAGTGATTTGATTTGATTTCACTACGTATATGACCATGTACCCCGATAATTTCTTTGTGTCGTTCAATGTTTCGTCGTTTGTAAGGCTTTATCTTTTTACACAGTTCGCGAGTCCGACGATGAATCCCGTTAATAGGACGTGAACATTACGGGGGCGGTGCTCCCGCGTGCCTCGCCCCCTCGCGCTGTTACTGTCATAGCGCGTCCAGACCGACGAGCGCCGAACCCGGTTCAGATGGGACGGCTGTGGTGACGATTCAAACAATAAAAAATATAAAGATAACACAGACTGAAAATAAACATTTAGCGGAGAATATATTCTGACTGCTCTAAACTGCCAAACATAATTCATACCACGTAGACAGACAGTATTACGCAAAGTGAGAATCGGGAAGCCGAGCAGCCATTCGCAACTGACAGGCATCACTGAGCAGCATCACCTTGGTCGACTAGTTTATCGCGGATACACGCAAGCAGCTGGGACATGTCGGACTCTGCGGCAGACGCCAAGTTGGAAGTGAAGCAGGCAAGCAAAGAAGTGAAAGAGAGCGAGAATGTCGCCGAGAGATACTCGGCGATGACCGTGAGCAAGAACACCGACGCGACCGTGGGTGACCTGTCCTCCGCCTTCGCGCCTGTCACGACGCACAAAGCCGTCAAGAAGGTGAGCAGTGATGGGGGCTCCGCATGCCGCAGACCGATCCAGGCATGATCGGAGTCAGCCTGGAGGAGGGCGATCAGGGCAGCAAACGGCGATCAGACATTTTTTTTTGGGTAATTGGTCAGTCGCTATGCTCAAAAGGGAAGCGCGTATGCCTTTCCCGTCCACATGCATCCCACTGTAGACCTTTGGGAGAGACCGCAAACTTTTCAGTGTCTTAGTTGGCGAAGTGAAGGTTAACTCATATACCTACCAAACATTCGTTTTTCAATTTCATCTAGGCTACGCTAGTTAGTTGGTTCATCTATTTTATGAAAAATGTATAATTTCCTCATAATCCTCATATTAATCTCAAAGAGTGAAACAGGACCAACAAATCTCAAAAACTATGCTTTTTACTGTAAAAATAAAAATCACTGTAAAGTTCAATACCGCTAACATTGCTAATTTATTTCAAGGTGCGTCGTATTCCTAAAAACTGTGAAAGTGATTATCGATCAGGAACCTGAAAACATTGAGCTCGCTTTAAATATTATATCGGTTGTGCTGTACATACAGGTTACATGGCGGTTTAAAATAACCCAGTTTCCTTAATTGTGGTATAGTGGGACCACAGCAAGTAATGTTATATTCCTTTGAGATTTCCACTTAATAATAACCTTTATTACCACCATGGAAATTGGATATGATCAAATACAATGCTGACCCCCTCCCCCCCCACCCCACAGCATCAGAACAGTTAACACAATTTCATCTCATTCTTCCCGTGTATTTTCACCTTTCCTGCCCTCTTAGATCATTAGTGAATGGTTTGTATGTCAATATAATTATGATGATCATTTTTCCTTTTCACTTGTGGATTACTGTATATTCTGGTAGCCGCCAGAGTGACTCAATCCACTATCTGTTCATTGTTACACCGGTTTGTATAGTTTGTTCAAACATAAGTAACAAACGGTGAACAAGAACAGAATCTTATAAGCAGCACACATGGCTTTGTTGAGTTGTAATTGATAGCTGGTGGCTGGCACAACGTTCCCTCCTCTCTGTTTCATAATGTAAGGTGTTGGGAACAAATGCTGGTTAAATTCCTGTTTGAATGCTACATTACAAAAGAAGATCAAATTACAAGGTCAAGCTTCCTTTGTAACAGTAAGTAAAGATAATAATCAAAATGTTTGGCTGCATATAAAAAGCATTAAAGCAATTAAATATTTCCCTAAAAAGAACTTCTAGCATTCTGTCAGAAACTTGAGGTTGATCAGTAGTTGTTGTTTGTAAAAAATAGATATAAAAAAAGCAAGTGCGCAGTAGGACCCCGTCCACACATTTCCTAAGAGCGCAGAGGTAACGCTGTTTTTTAGGACCCCGTCCACACGTTTCCTAAGGGCGCAGTAGTAACGCTGTTTTTTAGGACCCCGTCCACACATTTCCTAAGAGCGCAGTAGTAACGCTGTTTTTTAGGACCCCGTCCACACATTTCCTAAGAGTGCAGTAGTAACGCTGTTTTTTAGGACCCCGTCCACACATTTCTTAAGGGCGCAGTAGTAACGCTGTTTTTTAGTACCCCGTCCACACATTTCCTAAGGGTGCAGTAGTAACGTTTTTTTTTAGGACCCCGTCCACACATTTCTTAAGAGTGCAGTAGTAACGCTGTTTTTTAGGATCCCATCCAAACACTGTGGTCTGTCAGTGAAATTTCGCCCACCAGGATTGCCTGGGCCTCATGGCAGCTCACTGTTTACATAGATGCGCACGACGCAGCCTCATCCAGCTCCATATAGAAAGGCAGCCAACAGGCACCATCTGGGCCTGCCTCGTTTCCCTTTCATAGGACACCAGATGGCCAGTGTGGCATGGCGTGGTCCGGCCTGGTCTGGAGTGGGCTGCTTTCTTCACTCAACATTCACCGTCTTCCATACCTCCACCTCTATATAACACTTTCTAAACAAGAAGTGCTTATATTCAAAACACCTAAAAAATGTAATTTTAACTAATTTTCCCTAGTCAATTTTCTAACTGTGTGCCAAAGTGGTTATAGGCAATTTTATTTGGGGAGGGGGGGGTCAGACTGTGCAGCTGCGCCCCCTATTGGTATTTGAACATATTTAGTTTAATATGATTAAGCTAACTGGAATCTGGCCCGTGCCAATGCAATATTGTAAAGTTATATTAGTCATTTCAGTGTGTAGTAATAAGTTTTAGTAAATAAATCTATTTATTTGAATGAATGACTGGTTGGGCTCTCGCACTTTGTACCTCCTATGAGAAAGGCCTGGAGTAGCCGTGCAGTGGGTGGAATGTTGCCTCATACCTGCAGAGCTGAGGGAATCGGCATGTTCTGCCCCAACCCTAGATGTATGTTGGAGAGCATACAAATGTACATGACATGTCCTCCCTGTGTTGCACGGAGGGTGATCACCTAATCTACGTCAGGGCTGAGACTATGTGCACGGAGGGTGATCACCTAATCTACGTCAGGGCTGAGACTATGTGCACGGAGGGTGATCGCCTAATCTACGTCAGGGCTGAGACTATGTGCACGGAGGGTGATCGCCTAATCTACGTCAGGGCTGAGACTATGTGCACGGAGGGTGATCTCCTAATCTACGTCAGGGCTGAGACTATGTGCACGGAGGGTGATCGCCTAATCT